AATTAATTGGTAAAAAGTTTAAATTTAAATCAGAAAGATCAAGTATAAAACTAGAGAACCCAAACAAAAACCCTCGAGTCGCACATGGTATATTATAACTTTCGCAATCAGTTTTAATAGGTTTAAAAAAAAAAAATCTGCGAAATATGCACCTTACGCTCGACTAGTTCCAAATAATATACATCGTTCAGCAGCAACATCAAAGGACGAGTATAAGAAGACAACTACAGAGAAGTGAGAGTGAGGGAAAGGGCCCTTCGTCCGATGAATCAGACATAATATATTGTGAAGTGTATACGTGTATATAAAGGTCTTTTTAGTAAAACGATGTGCCGCCGGCAGCATTGAGATCCCTGGTTCATGAGTCACTTTGTAATTTTTTTTCTTTTTTACAGTTACAAATGTGTACATGAGAAATTCCACATAAATATTCTAGCCGACCCACGACGAGGGAGATATTAATTTTTTTTTCAATGTATTTTCAGGATAAATATGTATTTTCTCACACCTACATAAATAAAAAAAGGTCTTGAATGTGCACCAACTAGCCGCAAACAATTCTATTTTTTGTTCAAGGTTTTACAGTATTATAACTATTTGAAATAGCTGTTGAAAATGTTGCAAGATAAATAAAATATTTTTCTAATTTGATAAAAAAACAACTTAAAAATCTCCAAAAAATTTTGTCTAAAATAAATTTGTTGTCAAAACTTGTTGAAAATTTTTTTTATTTTTGAAAGAGGCTTGTTTTTGTATTTTAAAAATTTTACTCTAATTTTTATTGAAATATCATGGTAAGAATTTTTAAATACATATATGGGCTTATTTTGTGTAAACATATATTTAACCATTATATTCTGGACACCATTTTTTTTTAAATACTGTAGGGATAAAAATAAAAAACAATTTATTTGGTGGTGAGTAGAATCAATGTAGATCCAATATTAGCTGAAAATAAATAATTAATATACGTATAAAATATTTAAGAAAAGAAATCATCCAAACCATAAAGTAATGAAAAATAAAAAAAATAAAATTTAATGAAATACTTAGTAGAGTAATAATAATACATATAATATGAAGTAAACAAAAATGTAACGAATAAAAAAAAAATTTTAATGCAACAATAGTAACTACAGTAAGAAAATGTATTAAAAACATGTATGTATTAAAAGATGATTGTTTTTTCAAATGTTTTAATTAAGCAACAGGCATAAAAAAATTTCCAGACACCCCCACAAGAGTGTTTCTTTGAAAAAAATTTCTTTGAAGTTTCAGAATGTTTTGAGTGGTGATACTTTTTGTAGAATCGCTCGCATACAGTTGACACAGGGTATATGATTCACGAGAAGAGTAAAGAGCCTTTCGTTGCTAAGCATATAGTTAGGATACACGTGCAGAGGGTGAGAGGCGACGACTACGTCGACCAGGTAATGTACCCGATTGTGGGATGACTAATCTCTTTTTCATTTCTTTTTTTTCGAGAAGAAGCAAGTCTTAACTTGTCTAAAGTAGAAGAGGAGGGAAGGAACGGTCAAGAAGGCGATTCACGTCCCAACTTGCTCGATGGTCCATTTCTTCAAGTGCTGTGCTGAGGTAAAGGCGTGCGTATTCTTACATCAGACATATTAGTACAATATATTAAAAGTTTGTTTTTTTCCTAAATTTCATGATAAAATTTCTTGTGTGCATATTGCTGAAAAATAAATTAAATAATATCTGATACGTATCTTTAAATACATTGTACTGTACAATGTGTAAAAAATTGTAAATAAATAAATAGCGTTTTTGGTCAATACTTTTTATAATTAGGTTTAGTTAACGAAAAATTAGAAAATTTTAATGTTTTTTTGTTTAATAATTTTGAACTTTTGCTGTTTTGCAATTTTCATCTGCAAAACAAAAATACCATGAAGATGAGATAATTCTTAACATTTTAGCTTAAACTTTAAATGGAAAAAAAAACACGATCAAAATGATTTTTGACACATACTTTTTTTGCGTTCAATAAAATGTGCGCACACTTACTAACATAGAATGAACACGGAGAGTAGCAACTTCCCCTCTCTTTTAACCGATTAAACTTCAGTCGTGCTAAGCGTGCCAAGCGTTAAGAACTTCCTGTACCACATCCTCCTCGTCTCCATCTCCTGCTTATACAGTATATCCGTATCCAGTCGCTCAAAACAATAAACCACGCCAACAACGAAACCTGATGCATTGCCTCGAAAATGATACATATATATATATATAATATCCTTAACAATAGTATGCGCTCTTTTCAAGCCCAGCAAAGAAAACAAAGGAGCTTCCTTGGATGTATACACGCTCTTTTCACTTCCTTGTACCCTTAAACCTTTATTCATATACATATTGTAGGGCAAGTAGAATAATGCACGTACGTGAAATGAACAAGCGACGCAGTATTTTTTTTTCATCTTGGCTGACGCAAATTTGAAGAGGCTACGACTTACATTTTTTTTCTAATTTCAATATTTTAAACACAAAATATTTTGGGTTAATAAAAAAGACTACATAGTAAAGGCCATATAAATAATTTATTAATTTTTGGATTCATGATGCAAGTTTGTAATTTATAATTTAAAAGATGTGAAGCTACGAGGTTGCATCAAAGTCTAACAATTTTTTTTTTTTTTTTTTTTTTTTTCATTTTCGATCAAATCACGTGTGAATTTCCTTATAATGTAAAAGTCAATTATGAGAAGTTTAATTACCTAGCATTAAAAACAAAAAAAAAAAACAAAAAAAAACAAAAAATAAAAAATAGAAACTGTTTTTCACGATACAGTTTGAAGATTTTTTAGGTCAATGGGAAACCCACCGTATTCTTTCCTAATACCTGCGTACTAAAACGTCGTCAAAAAAGTATAGGGTTTGGCTTCTCGGAGTCTCAATAGAAAAAAAAACCTTCGCGTAAGACAGGTAGTCGAAAACAAGCCTCCGCACGATCTCCCCATATCCTTGGGAGACCCTCAAGGAAAAAAAAAGAAAAAAAGAAGAAGAAACTGTCAGAAGACGAAGAAAAAAAATAGAATAGAAGAGGCAGGGATCGGTAAGATAGTAGTATAATATTCAGGTTCGGTCCACGCGCGCGAAACTATTGTACAGGCCAGTTCGGGGCCCTGCAAAAGTAAAAATAGAGAAGAAGAGAAAAAGGGATGTATACGTGAAAGAAAGGCGGGAAGGAAGACGAGCGAAAAGGCAATAATACGCCTAACATGTAGACGTGTTTTAGAAAGAGTATTAGTAACGATGGTATGGATATAGAAAGGAGGAGTAAGGGGACGCGTGGATCATCAGCGCGCGCGCAAAAACATCGCCGAAGACAGGTTTTTCCTATATATATGTATATACAAGTATGTACGTAAGGCCCAGCCGAGTCCCCTGCCATTGGCTATTTATATATATGGCTTCGCACGTGCGCGCGGGTATATACATCGACTGTATCTTCTTTTACTTATAATACATTAGTATCAGAGCGTCCACCAGCGTGTTTGTGGCCCGCCGGACTTTCACAACCGTCAGCCTTTCCCGCCAAAACACTTGGCACGACGCGCCAATTTTTAGACACGATAGGCGTGTAACCCCCTCCCTTTCTTTACTCTCTTGACCGAGCGTTGAGTCACTTTTTTTTTACAATTTTCTCCCAGAATATTAAATTTAGAGAGTTGGAGGGTGTAAAGTACAATACGAAAAGCTTTCGATAAGATGGACGATATTTCAAAATGCAAGCACATCCAAAGCTCCAAGCAGAAAAGTTTGAAGCAGTATATATAACGGAATGAATGAAATAAAAATCATGCAAGTACAGTCTAGGATTTTTACAACAGCTGCTAACACAATACCCGAAGTTCTGATTCAAGGAAAAAAGCTCTTCGTATAGCGAGTACACTGATATAGTGGGTTCGGTAATTTTTAAAATCTTATTTCAAAAAATTTTGAAATCAAAAGTAAGATCTTCCACGTTCCATTCACGGTAAGAGAACACGCTTATTGCTGTACACCGGGGCCACGTGTTCGTCGAGACACTTGGCGTCTCTTTCTGGAGTGCATGTACGCCGTAGAGAGAGAGAGCGCATTTAGGCCTCAACTACTTGAACTGGGCGCGTGTCTCTTCACGGTAAAGATATACGAGCATCAAGAATAGAAATTATGCGATGTGATGCTCTGAAATGAATCACGTGTTCTTTATATTGCCGCGCCCGCCTTTTTTTCTCTTATCTCTTCATTATCATTATAGGCGCGAAAACTTTTTTTTTTTTTTTTTTTTCTCTTGGTACCAATAAGCCAATATTAGTGATTAATTCGTTAAAAAATCGACATTTTCGTAATCTTCCATAAATCGTTTATTCACAGCATATTTGTATATAAAGTAATTTACAATAATCAAGAGGAAAATAAATCTTATTTGCATGATTTCATGTTCTCTATGGAAAGAAAAAACAGTGCATTAAAAAAATCTTTAACATACATATAAATAATTCACAAAAAAATAAACTCAAATTTAAGTAACATTGTGTATATAAATGTTTGTAAGCGTTCGATCGAACATAGTTTCGAGTCGTTACATAAAAAAATTGCACGTAAGAAGGTAACACTTATGATTAGAAGATAAAATATTTCTTCGTGTATATAACGCTCCACAAACTTTTAACAAAGATAAAGTGTTTTCGCAAGAAATATTCAACTAAGACAAGAAGTAGCATCAGTCGAGAAGGAATCATACATTATTTTCACAACCATTGTGGAATCGTTCCCAATAAAAAATTATTCGTCTATCAGTGAATGAACACAAGCCTCAAAAGCTTCATGGCGCGTCCCAAAATTTTTCGCCCATCAAAGACGAAGAAAAAAAANGTCCGATAATTTGTTAAAAAGAAAATTAGTCTCAAAGAGCAAAGTTGAATAACATTAGAAGTCGTAAAAAAAAAAAATGCACAACAGTCGTGAGAGCAACTATTAACATACAAGTTACTCACCCTGTATGCTGGTCTGCTTATTGTACGGGCAGGCAGCAGCGGCACGTCTTTTACTCGGCGTGCTCGCAAGCCGAACGGCGGTGACTTTGCCACTCGTCGTGTTGTTAACGACGACCTTGTTCTCCTTCTCCTCGTCCTCGGGGACGCAAGGATCGACACCCCAACGTTTGGTAAATCGGGCCCGTTCCTCGTTGAGCGCCTCTTGGAGCATTTCCATGGTTTCGCGATGATTCGGTGGCCCGAACAGACAACGCGGCACCCGCGACGCCTGCAATCGTGTAGCCATCAGCGTGCCCAAGTGCCACTCGTGGTAGAATTGCGCAGCCAGCATTTTTTGCCTCTTCCTCGGTGATCGATTTTTTTCGTTTTCTTTTTTCCAATGAGCCACTCAAGACAATATTGAGTCGGACTTAACGGTTGGGTGGTCGTAACGATGAGGAACTCCAAAAAGCGCTGGTTAGTCGAATGATGATGTTTCGGAGCTCGAAAATTTGGAGCACACAATGCGAGCAGCCACAGCGGCAGAACACATGCGCTCGTACTCGGGCAAACGTACTTTTTCAAATGCGTTCGAGAACGGCGCAATTCAAACTTCCGAACGCCACTCTTATCCGACTGTTCTCGGCTAATTAACACCACCGCTTTGCTCGAGGCTTGAGCGTTACTATCTCTGACGACACCGACTGAACCTTAGATTCGAGAGCTTGGGATGTCTCGAGTCGATGTTAACCGAATGCTGTCCAAGAACATTCTAACTGAAGATGTTCTCAGACATTGCCGTCGTCGACGCGGCAGAAATCCGCAACAGCCGTCGCACGCGCCAATGGGCGGTTACCCAAGGCGGCGCGGCTCATACCAACCCAAGCGTCGCCTAACGGCCGTAAGCTGCACTTGCAAGGCTTGAGGCTTTTATGTGCGCGCCGAAAAAAAAAAAAAAAAAAAAAAAAAAAACGCGCGCACGGACGAATTAAGTTTGTGCGCTCGAGGCGATGGATTTTCAGTAATGAAGTGCGTGTGCGCGTTTTTCTGGAATACCTATGTACTCCACCGAAGCCGATAGGTGAGCTGTGCCATTAAACGCGCGCTAAAATTGAGAAATAAGTGCGCGTACAGAAAACAGAATGTCGGTTGGTGTACATTCTATTACGGAATTATGGAGGGGTCAATGTGGTGGGCCCACTATACCAGCCGGATGACATTAAAATATACGTACATATACTTACGTGTTACTGATTATAAAAGGATGCGTTTGTAAGTGCAAGAGGAGACGGAAATTCGTGGCTTGCCGTTATATAGATTTCTGTATGGTTACGGTAATGCAAAAAGTACATGCGGGAAAGGAAGTTTTTCGAGAAATTTTTGGGATCTCTTTTGTTGCGATACCATGGGAATTGCGTAATTTTTTTTTACTCACGCTACCCACTTGTTTGTACATTATTTTTGAATAGAATTTAGTTTTTTTTTTCAAAAATACGTTGTGTTTTCAAAGCTTACCTATATGAATATTTTAGAAGCAATGCATTTTTTGTAGTGCAATAGTCGAACTACGATTACGTACCCAAGTAATAATTCACTATTTTTTTTTTCCAAATTTTTTATTATTCTTTATACACAACACTGGATTTAATTTCTTTCAAATTCGTACAGATAAGGTTTCTAGATAAAAAGTTATCAAACGATTAAAGTTAATATGAAATTAAGTGGATATAAACTCCATTACAATTCGTTAGAAAACAGCATTGCCTATTAAAAAAATTGAAAAAAAAAAAAAAAAAAAAAAAAAAAAAGTATTTTCAACTGTAGCGAAGCGCAAGTGTAAAAATGAAAAAAAAATATTTTACTAAAAAATTTCACTTACAACGAACAGAAAATTTTTCAAAATTTTTTTCGTCGTAAATTTCTCAAGTAGCTACCGATAAGTGCGAACAATGTTGAAACTTTCTACTTCCCACTTTTCGGTAGACCAGCACACGCAGATACATAAGTGTTTGAAGACCTTGGGATTCTCCTGCGAGTTGAAACTTGTCCTAAAAATTTTTCACAGTCAACTCCCCTGGAGTGGAAGGGTCTTGAATCTTATCTGGCGTGGCAGTATTGTATATATTTTCAGCAGTCAAGAAGTTGGCCATAAATCAAGGCCAAAAATGACAGTAAATGGTCTCAAAGAACGCTTTGGAAGCAATCAAAATTCCCTTGTTACCACAATGAGGAACAGTAAAGGTTAGCAGTAAAAAATCAACGTCCTGGTAAAAGTTACAGAATAGGAACGTTTGTTTACCCGAACGAGGGTCGTCATCGTTCGTGTAGTGTTTCGTGCACCAAACGCTAATCCACAACCTGCTGCAATTGCATGTCATATACTTATGTCATCCAGACAAATAAAAAAAATTTTCACATTTGTAAACAATGTTAAGTACGACGGAGGATGTATTTTTCAAGAAACAATATAAAAATCACGCGCCACCATCAGGTGGCACGTCAGATTTGATAAACGAGATCTCGTGCCGTATAGGATTTCCTGTTTAACACTTCCATTCGTCTTTTGATTTTATTATTCAACATTCATGTATGCATACATGGTATACACAGCCTATAGTTATACAGCACAAAAAGTACGTCGAAAGAGAGCTATAACCCTAGTCTCTCTGTAATGTCACCGATAGCATCGTATTATAGTGCAGCCGGATGCTTGCGCCGAGATTCATATATATTAATTCGCGTCATAGTTCGATATCCCTCGAAAGCAAAGACTTTTTGGCGTGGCGTGTATTTACATAACAGTGATTGTGTTCAAGTTCGTGTTTTTGTACATATAGATGCATATGTGGTTGCAGTTACGGATTTGAAAAAGGAAAAATGCTGATCGCCACGAATATGAAACAGGTACGTGAATTTAAATTAAAAAGTACAATACACATATATATACAGCGAGAGCGAAGGTGTACTTATTCCGGGGATTCCCCGAAATGGCACTCTGATAATACGGGGGGTGACCCCCTTCCGAGCGACCTAATTACGCAGTTACCTGCAGTGTATATGTGTAGCCCCTCTTACCTACACTCCTTGAAGGCCGCAGTGTGTAAGTAAAATCTTTCACGCTTGTTAGAAGTGACAGTTGTACTTATAATGGGGGTCGAAAAATGCGCGCAATCTATCGACCTCCTCTTGATGGGGGTTAGAAAACGACCGTTGCAGCTTTATTACAAGCGTGATGATGAAAATGGTCAAGGGTTATCTTGAGAGAAACAGAAACACACATGCGGGCATTAAGTTGCATATATTCGTAAATGTATGTACAAAAAAAGGAGAAATCAACAGGTGCGCGCGTTATTTCAACTTCCCAGGGATTTTTCGTTGTGCCCTTTTTAAGGACTAACATTACGTGCGTACAATATGCACAATGGCCTTGAATGAGGGAGTTTCGGTTGGATTTCTGTTGAATCATTCATGGTGTGTGTGGTGTGTTCTATATTCTCTTGCACGGGATTGAGGCTCATTACGTATGCGGCAATGTCCAGGGGGGCGTAATTGTTGTGTTCTTTTTACCTCGCTCACGTGGAACTGCTCCGGCTTCTTGGTGCGACAATCGTGCGGGGGTTGTGGTTTTTTTTTTTTTTTATGTTTTCGCTGATTAATGAACGACTTGGTATGGCGGTTTTTATTCATGAGACTCTGGCGAAATGGTTGCTGCAGGGTTTTAAAAAAATATGATATATTCGTTAACCTCAACTAACCACTAAATGACATATTGGAATTCAAACAAAACTTTGCAGTTTTCTTACAGATCTACACACACATAATGATCCTAACGATATTTCAATTGCAATTTCCAACCAACTTTCAATCACGCGGACACTCACTATCATTATTAACCTCACCCAATGTACCTTAGAAACGAGTAAAAAATATTTTTCATGATTTTTACTACTTTTTGATTTATAAATAATTTAAAAAAAAATTTAATTTTGTAAATTAAACTTATTGCCATTATGTCAATGTAGTTTTATTATTTTTATATATTTAGTAAATTTTTTGTTTGTTTATTTTAATTTATTTGTACAGTCTGTTCAATTAATTTATTACTAAGTATAAATTATTATTGAATATAT